TCAAAGTATGCTTTAAAAGTTGAATGCATAAGAATTAACTAAGATTACTTATTAAATTCAGATTTCTGGGCCCATTTTATTTAAGTAGAATATTTGATAGTGAAAAACAAGACTTCAGGAATTGACAGAATACCAATTGAAATGGTTTCACAGCTGATGAAGCACTCACTCATCTATGTCAAACAGTTTGGAAGCCAGCTGGCAACTGACTTCTGTGTGGCAACTGGCAACTATGTGGATCATCATAACAAACTATGGATTACATTGAGAAGAATGGAGATTCCAGAAAATTTCATTGTGCTTATATGGAAACTGTACATGGATCAAGAGGCAATTTTTCAAACAAAACAGACTGCTGTGTGGTTTAAAATGAGGAAAGATACGTGTCAGGGTTGTATCCTCTGCTGAGCAAAGAGTCTAAGAAGCTGGACTGTATTAAGAAGAGGGCGAGGAAGGCTTATTAACCTACAATATGCAGATGACACAACCTTGGCCTTTGAAGCACTTGTTGAAGATCAAGGATTGCAGCCTTCTGTATGGATTACAACTAAATGTCAAGAAAGCACAAGATTGAAGATGCCAAGGATTTATTTTGAGTTGGATCCACAATCAGTGTTCACAGAAGTCAAGAAATCAAACTATGTATTGCATTGGGCAAATCTGATTAAGACCTCTATAACATGGTGAAGAACAAGTATATTACTTTGAGAACTAAGATGCTCTTGACTCAAGCCATGGTATTTTCGAGTGCCTCACTTGCCTGTGAAAGCTGGACAGTGAATAAGGAAGAGCGCAGAAGAATGGATGCATTTGAGTTACGGCGTTCGCGATTCATATTGAAAGTATTGTGGACTGACAGACAGACAAACTAACCTGCCTTGGAAGAAGTATAGCCAGAATGCTCCTTAGAAGTGAGGATGGAGAGGCTTCATATCATATACGTTGGACAGGAAAAGGACATCATGCTTGTGGTGAAGTCGAAGATAAGTGGAACCGTGGAAGACCTCAATGAGATGGATTAGCATAGTGGCTGCAGTAATAGACTGAAGCTTATTAGTTGTTAGGATGGCACAGAACTAGCAGTGTTGTGTTCTGTTGCATGTAGTGTTGCTGTGAATCAGAACCGACTTGAGGGCACCTAACCACAATGGATGGTAGCTCCTGAAAAATCTTGCCAATATAAATATATGAAATCCCTAAATCATTTATCACATGCATTACTAAACTATGAGCTACAGAATCTTTGGCCTTATTTTTATATCTTAACTGTGAGGCAGACGGCTTCTAAGCCCTTTTCTCTTAAGAATGGACTGGAACAATTCCTGTGAATTGTGGTGGGTGGGGCTGGCCAAGTTTCTTTTTGTTGAGTCTTGTTTCTATCCCCACTCCTCTTTGGTCCTACAGAGGCTGGTTTATCTGCACAGTCCATGCTGATCTTGGACTGAAAGCCCCTCATTGTCTTTGAGCTCAGTGCTTAGATAACACCACATGCCTGTAAAGGAAATGCCTGGCCTCTTAACAGACCCATCATTCATTCTCTGTATGGGAGTGAGTGAGGCCTGTGTTTAAGACCATTATGAGAATATTTCTCTGCAGGGATTATTGCTTGAGACCTGCAGGGGCACCAGGTTTCTCCTTGATGTCTGGAGTTCCAAGGATAGTGTTTCTCTGGCTCCTTTCCCTTGCATATCAATCACAGAGGATTAAGGGCTGTTTTTGCCCAGGCCTTGTTTTCACACATAGCTGCAATGCCAGCGTATTTTCCCTCTGGTTAGATCACTTTGGAAGACAGCACTGAAGTTGGTGGCGGGTGTTGGCGGAGGTGGTTTTATGACCAGGTCAGCTTGGCAGCTGCCTCTGTACTATGGTCTCAGGAGCAGCTTTTCCCATGTTGTTGTTGGTTCCTGTCAAGTCGCTATTCACACATCGTGCCCCTGTGTGGTCAGAGTAGAATGGTGGCTCCATAGGTTTTTCAAGACTTTGACCTTTCAGAAGTGGATCACCGAGCCTTACCTCCAAGCCTTCTCTCTCTAGATTTGAACTGAAAACCTTTTGGTTAGTAGTCTTCCAATGCTTAACCATTTGCACCACCCAGAGATTCTTGCCATAGTATAAGGGGTTTTCCCCCCCTGCTCCTTTAATACTCCTATTACCTTCTGACCTACAAAAGGAAAAATATTTCATTTTCATTCAGTATGAAATTTCTTCTGGTGGCATACAGTTTTCACCTGGTAAAATGCTATTACCATTTCTTTCTTAAAATGTTTCAAATAAGTCTACTAGGCTCTGATTTAGGTAACTTGAAAATGTTCCCAGCTCTTATTACTTAGACTTTAAAACCTTTTTATTTTTCTCCTAAAATGCCTAACTTCTAAAGCTGCTTTCTTTCCAAGACAATATCCATGTGAGGCAAAGCAAACTAGTAATTCTGACTTGTGTTCATTTGTATAGCATCCTTAACATATATGAGTGGGCTTCAAAAAGTTCACGAAGAATCCATTTTTAATTTCATTTTTTCCCACAATCTTTTCGAAGCCCCTCATATACCTGAGCTCCCTTTTCTACCCATAACTCAGTGCCTTTTCTACCCATAACTCAGTGCTCCAGGAAATGAACCTGAAGTACAAAAGAGAAGTTGCCTAGGGGAGGGACAAGACATCCCTCCATAATAAAACAGTGTTTGGGTAGTCAAGGATACTGGCACTAGAACACACATTAAAAAAAATTAGTACAGTATTGTCAATGTTTATGAGCATCCTGGTTCACTGTAAAATTTCAAGAGAAATTATTTAGCACCATACTGTAGGGATTTGTTTTTGTTTTTAATTATTATTAGTAATGTGAAACTGGAAAACTGGTGAACCAAAATAGACCATGCCATAGCAAAGCTAGATGAGTGAAATTACAGACATTAATCAAAATGTTTTTCAATGCTAAACTAAACTTGTTGGAATTGTAAAGAAAAGCAAGCTATTATGTTTGTCTGGTTGTTGCACTACTTGCTCAGCATTTAAATTTTAAACTTTGAGTCAAAATTGATTCTGGGATAAATAATTCGGAGATGAAAAAAATAAGACCAATGGTTCTGGGGAGATACGGGAAAAGGGGAGGTGGGAGAAAGGTGGGGGTTACCAACCCAGGGACAAGGCAACAAAAAGTGAACTAGAATCAATGGAAGGAAGGTCATAGGATGCTTAGTGTGGCTCAATCAAGGGCAATGTAGCAGCGAGGAATTACTAAACCCCAATGAAGACAGAACATGATGGTGGGACAAGAGGGAAGTACAAAGGAAATAGAGGAAAGAAGCAGGAGGCAAAGGACATTTATAGAGGCCTACATACAAGCATGTCCATTGGTAAATATAGGGAATAGAACTATGTACTCATATCTATATATTAAGAATTAAGGTTGCAGATGGACATTGGGCTTCCACTCAAGTACTCCCTTAACAGAACACTTTGTTCTAACAATCCGGCATTCTGTGATGCTCACCTGACACAATCACTGAAGACAAAGCAGGTGCCTAAGCAAATGTGAAGAAAGCTGATGGTGCCCGGCTATCAAAAGATATAGCATCTGGGGTCTTAAAGGATTGAAGATAAACAAG